TTCTCCATATGATACAGACTCCTGCACTGACCATGTCCAATACACTGGAGATAGCACCCTGATTATTATGGGGGGGTTCAACCTTGACCAAAAGGAAAATCTCTTCACTCTGAAATACAGTATATACATATGAACCATAACCACAAACATAGAAGATGATATATGTTACATCCAATACTCCCTCTAAGCTGTGGAGTCTTGTGAGCAAAACTACTTCCTGAGCTACTGGCATTAAAGTTGTGAGCGAACGATTTGGCTACTGCATAAATGAATTTGCTCTGGAGCCACCCTTCCTGAGCTAAGGCAAAAAGGTGTGAGCCAGAGGCTGTGAGCTAGCTCACAGTAACTCAGCTTAGAGGGAACACTGGTTGGGAACTAATTTTTGGTGGGAAAAGCTGCCTGTTAGTGGGGAAATGCCAGAGGTCCGTCTTATACAGCCATAATCTTTTAAATTACCAGATTTCTTCTGAGGATGTAGGGTTGCCTCTCCCCACCACTGCTGAACGTGAGTCAGCCTTTGAGTACTTGGAGTGACTGGAAGGGTTTCCCTCTCAGTCTTCTCATTCTCGCTTCAGCAGAAGTAACAGCAGCTCAGGCAACAGATTACCAAGGCGCCTGCAGGAGAGCAAGCTGGGTGTGGAGAAAACTAACCCTGCTTACACGCGGTTTATTTTATTTTATTTATTTCGGATTTCTACCCCGCCCTCCCGGCCGTAGCCGGCTCAGGGCGGCTTACATAAAACAAACACGTTACATTAAAATATGAATTACGACTAAAACAGTTCTAAAACTGTAATAAAGTGCCAGTAATCGTTGATATTCTTTTTTTTTAATTAATTAAAATTTAAAATACAATCAATAGCTATGAGTCGAAACAGCAGCAAAAATAAAATCGGGAGGGGGACACATTCACGATATCTGGGGAGTTTCCTCAATACAAGTGATAAACTTGTGGATGTGCAGGAGCGTTCAGCATTGAAGCAAATGTGACAGCCTCAGTTGATGTAGGGTAATCGTTGATATTCTTGACGGTAGCAGCCATGATTCAAAGTTCTCCGCTGGCAGTCAGCTCACAGTATTGATTGTCCTTGCCGTGCTTGTTGTTCCCTAGGCTGTGGGTGGCAGGCTGTGGCCATCTTGCACTTTTCCTTGGTGCTTGTCATAACGCTGGTGGTAATGGTTGTACTCAGGGGTCATTTTGTAGAAAAAGAGGTGCAGGAGCTCATTAGCATAACTTATTTGCATATGCCACACCCCCTGACATCACTGAAAGTGTGTCAGAAGGCAACACCCACTGCTCAGGCTCCACTGGACGGTTTTGGATTGCTATCTATTGGGGGGGGGACGTGCAGAGGAGGGAGAGCTTGTACCTGAATAAAACTTGGTCTTAAAGGTGCCACTGGACTGTTTTGGACCAGGAGGGGGCTCTGCAACTTACCTGGCTGCTTCTTGCTCTGACTGAGGGCTGCTGGGAGCAGGGGGCGGGGCTTGTTGCATGTGCCCGCCCCCTGGGGTCCTTACTGCCGGAGCTCCGCTCCTGTGCACACCTGCAGGAAATGACCCCAGTTGTACTTTCTTCTCCCTTCAGTATATCTTTGTTTCAAAATGGTGGATGTGTTAAATAGAGAAGCTAAAAAAAAAAGAATAGTTGTGTAGATGGATCAAAGTTTTCACATGTTGTTCTTTAAAAATTACTTGACAAGGGGATTTTTTTTTCCCTCTTAATTCACTAGGCATCATTCTTGTCTGACCAGCCCGAACCTTATTTGCCTTTCCTCTCAAGATTTTTGGAGACACAGATGTTTGCTTCTTTTATCGACAATAAGATCATGTGCCATGATGATGATGATAAAGATCCTATTTTGAGGGTGTTTGATTCTAGAGTGGATAAAATTAGATTACTAAATGTCCGTACACCAACTCTGCGCACATCAATGTATCAAAAGTGCACTACCATCGATGAGGCTGGTAAGTGCTTAAAGAACTCTTTAAAGGGACTGCAGCTGTTTCTATTAATACTGGGGTAATGCTCAAATATGAATGTGCAAAACAGCATTTGAGAAATGCAGGGTCCTTAACCATTATAATGACAAATGACATTGGCCCTTATGCAACCAGTTCTGGAGACATAAGGGCAAAAGAGAAAAGGGTGACTTCTGCCAATTCCTCCTGCTGACTGAGCCGGTACAGAAATCTTGCGAAGCTTCAGAAACAGTACAGGAAGTAAACTGGAGATCTGCAGTAGGAGGGGAGAATCAGCAGAAATAACCTACTCTTCCTGAGAACACTTAGGAATGTGTGGTTGCATACAGGCTGCTATCTAAAATACTACCTGTGTAATCCTAAATAGAGTTATGCCCTTCTAAGTCCACTGAAGTCAGTGGACTAAAAAGGGTGAAACTCTGCTTAGCATTGCACTGTAAGTTTCAAAAGCAGGTATAAATGTCTTCTTATTGATCTCTGTATATCACGCACACACACAGGAATGCTCAGGCCAGAGTATTATTTGGAAACTTCTGGAGTTAAGCTTAAGGGCTTTTTTTAGCACTGGCTCCACCCATCCTGCTATCAGAGGCAAGAGCATGCATGCCTCTAGTGCAGGGGTGTCAAACATGCGGCCCGGGGGCCGGATGAGGCCCCCGGAGGACTTCTATCAGGCCCGCAGTGGAACTGGCTGTCTTCTGCTTCTTCTTCCAGTTCTGCTGCTGCTGCGTCATCATAGGTTTGCAGCTTATAGATACACACCTGAACAGCATACTCAAGATTGCAACAGCACAGACATTTTGATGTAATAATTCAGAGCAAGAGGTGTCAGTTATCAAGCAAGTGGGGATGCACTGCATCAGACACTGTTAAATAAACAAAATATTGCAAGAGTGCTAATGTTTTAAGCATGTTTGTTATTTTAAGTAAAAAAAACACCTTGTGCTTGTGTCCTTTATAAAGTTTGTATCTCCACTACCTGGCATTACCTTTTATGACACACATGGCCCAGACCAACAAGCTCTCATTTATGTCAGATCCGGCCCTCATAACAAATGAGTTCGACACCCCTGCTCTAGTGGGTGAAGTGATGCCTTCCCACTGAGTTCTTCTTTCGCTGCCTCAGCAGCATCACAAAGGAGCTGAATTATTGTTACTGAGCTAAGCTTTCTTGGCTTTTCTCTCCAAAAAAGGAGGAATCGTTTATGGATTATCCTGCAACTTTTTTTCTTGACTTGGCTTGTTATCATATTAGATGGACTTGAACATTTTAATGTTTTCTCTCTCCGCTATGGGTGTTAAGACTGTATGTTTAAGCACTGTTCAAATTGCAGCACTAAACTTCTCAGGACCAATGAGTATTATCCTTGCCTTTTTTTGTCTAGTAGAGGTTCTTCTTTTCTCTTCCTTTGAGAAGGATATATTTTTTAACAATAGTGACAGGTCCTGTCTTGTGTCTAAACTAACACAGGTTTCATTCCTTCCACTTTTTGTATTCTGTTTTATTTCCCAATGTAGCATGAAGCCATCTCTTCATCATAATGGGTTTTAAGATGTGTTTGTAATGGTTTGTTTTTCTTCAGAGAAAGCTATTGAGTTACGGCTGGCAAAAATAGATCACACTGCAGTGCATCCCCACTTGCTTGATATGAAGATTGGACAAGGAAAATATGAACCTGGATTTTTCCCTAAGCTTCAGTCTGATGTGCTTTCTACGGGACCAGCAAGCAACAAGTGAGTAAACTGAGTTTGAAAGATATTATGCATACCAAAACTGAGTGATTTGGGACCCTGTGCCTTTTAAAGTTGTGATCAGCAGTAATAGGTATGGGGCGTAGCCTTTGTCATCAGAGGATGTTTTAGAGCAGCATATAAATGCTCATCCCTGTTCAGAGTGCCATAAGGAGGTAGTTTTGTTCTCAGCAGGCTACATGCTGCCCTTACAAGAAAAGATTCTTGAAGCTGCAAATAAGAACTGCAAGCAGAAGGAACGAACAAGAAATTAAGCTCCAGACAAATCATTTGTTCTTGATTAAAAGCAAACAAACATTGCTTTCAACTATATCTGGTAAAAAAATGCTGAGCAGACCAGACAGAATATGCTTATGGATAAACTATTGTATGTGGCACTGTTTTGGACAGCTTATCATCAGCTTCTGCTTCTTAGAATCCAAGGTGGACCCACACACTTTATTTCAATTTCTGACCTAGTATATCTTATTCCCAACATGGTGCCTGGCCCGCCAGTACTTCCCCTCATGCCCATCAAGCTTTTCAAAAAGTGAGCAAGGCCTTTTAAAGGCAGGCTTGTTATTGGCTGCCCTCATTCAAATGAAAGGGGTTTCTATGGCTGCAGTAGCAGCTGCAGCCTATGGAAGATCAGGAGGACTAGTAAGCACCCAGGCTTGTGCTTCCATTTCTCCTTCTGGCTGTCTTTTTTATTATCCCTTCTCTTTCTCCTTTCCTTACTCCAGGTTTTCCTTTGTTTCTTTTTATTCCTCTTCTGCAATTCCTCTGCAAAGTGAGGTGTTGTGTTTGGCTCTGCCTCTTTTGGCAGCCATTTTAGGGTGGCATTCACCCTCCCTCAAGATTCCAGAGATGCTTACAAGCTCAAACAGGTTGGGGACCTTTGTCTTATAGAATGCTTCTCTTGATTTTCTAGATGGACCAAGCGAAATGCACCTGCACAATGGAGGCGGAAAGAGAGACAGAAACAACACACAGAGCATCTTCGCAGCAAACACGGCCGTGGGATCGCCGCCGCGCCCGTTGTGCGTATCAATCCCGCACACGCAGTTCGGCTGCCGCGCTCTTCTTTCTGTGGCTTCCCCCTGGCATCTGATCGTGCCGGGAAGGAAGTGCGCGGTGGCTCAGGGGATCTATGTGATCCTGCCGCCGCGTGTCTCTTGGTGCGGTTTTAAAAAGCCGCACTTTGCCCATCCTTTTCCCCCCGTGTGGCAGGGACTCTAGGGTGGCATTCACCCTCCCTCAAAATTCCAGAGATGCCTACAAGCTCAAACAGGTTGGGGACCTTTGTCTTATAGAATGCTTCTCTTGATTTTCTAGATGGACCAAGCGAAATGCACCTGCACAGTGGAGGCGGAAAGATAGACAGAAACAACACACAGAGCATCTTCGTCTTGACAATGATCAGAGAGAGGTAAAAACTGTTCTGTAACAAAAAAATACTAAATTTTAATGCTTTTCTTTTATATAGCTGGCTCAGAATTTCCCACTATCCTTCCCTGGATAACATACTTTTTACACTGCAATCCTGAGTTCCTGCATAGAGTTAGACTGGAGTAACTTTGCATAGGATTGCATTGCCTGTTTTTTAAGAAGCCTGCTTATTTTCTTTAAAGTTGCAGCATAATAGGATTTCTTTTTTCATTTTCAATAAAGATATATAAACAATAGAACACCATATTTTAATTGCAAATGGTTGCTAGCAGAGATTTAGAACAAGAAACATAAAAAACTCTGCTTGTATTAAATGAAATATTTTACTTTTGACATGTATTGACTGCTGTAAATTAACATCCAGCCAGTGTACTTGAGTATTTGTAATATTTGAGGGATGTTTTCCTAAAATAGAATACTTTTGCATATTAGGTAAGCTCCAGAACATTAGATATCAGATTTACAGATGCGTAAACTTGTTGGTATTTACTGATATTGTCATTGTCAATATATTATCTACTTATTATGAAAATATTCTTAGTTATTCTTACTAAATCAGGGCAATAATGTAAAAGAAGAAAACTAGAAGAATGAATGTGTTATTTTTGGACAAAATCTGTTATACAGTCATTTGGGGGGAAGTAATACCCCATTCCATTTGTAACACAAAGGTCTGTGAGCTTAAGTCCTATCTTTCATTTGCTTTAATTTGGTGTTTTATTTATTTATTCCTTGCTGTGTTTAAATTTCTTTTAATTTGTGTTGCATTGTGTGTTATCACTTTAGGAAGTCACAAGTCACCTTATGGCCTCTTTCCTGTTTTTGCATGTGTGCTTTTATTATTTCTTGCCTGGCCACCATACTCTTACCTAACATGAACTGTTTAATTTTTTTTTTATTTTGCTTTGTTTTGCTGTCTTCCCTGTCTTGCCAGCACCTGGATTTTGTTTTGCCAGAGCTTCAGTTGCAATTATGTTTAGACTTGGACCAGCATGATTGGCCTTTAACACACTCTATAAAATCTGTTTCAGAGCTTTACCTGGTATGTTGTGTATGCATAGGTATGTGAGTGATGTGATGTAAACCAGTGTTCCCTCTAAGCTGAGTTAGTGTGACTAGTTCACAGTTTTTTAGCCTCTGGCGCACACATTTTTGTCTTAGCTCAGAAAGGATGGCTCCAGAGCAAACTAATGTATGCAGTAGCCAAATTGCTTGCTCACAACTTTAATGCCAGTAGCTCACAAAGTAGAATTTTTGCTCACAAGACTCCACAGCTTAGAGGGAGTATTGGATGTAACATATATCATCTTCTATGTTTGTGGTTATGGTTCATATGTATATACTGTATTTCAGAGTGAAGAGATTTTCCTTTTGGTCAAGGTTGAACCCCCCCATAATAATCTAATTAGTGTGCTATCTCCAATGTATTGGACATGGTCAGTGCAGGAGTCTGTATCATATGGAGAATATTTTAATATATCTACAGCGAAGTTCTTCAATTTTTTTGTTGCAAAATAGCAACTCGCCAGGCTTTTAAAACTGAATTTAAGTTTCATTGAAAGAATGAAAAGTTTAGGTCCTTTGTGATATATCATGCCACATTATTTTATGAGATGGGAAATTATTTATGTGGGAATGGTGAGAGCAGGAAAACAGGCATAGTTCTTCAGGAATAGTTTGCCTCTTGTTAGCTGTTTGTTGTTTTTTAAAGTTGTTCCTTCGTATACATTTTGTATTTGCTTATTTTTCTTCAGAAGTATATTCAAGAAGCCCGGAATCTGGGCAGCACAATTCGACAGCCCAAATTGTCTAATCTCTCACCATCAGTAATTGCGCAGACCAACTGGAAATTTGTTGAAGGTTTGCTTAAAGAATGCCGAAATAAGGTATTTGTCTTCCTTATTGCCTCAGCCTTTGCTAGTGATGGACTAGTATATATTGACTTGCCTTCTACTGTATATGGTTTGCTAACTTTTATAAGATTTCAAAAGTTTTCATATTAACATAATAACATTTTATTTTGTATACATATTACATTTTGAATAGATATGTATTATGATTCAATATGCCTTTCTGGTATAGTTGGGACATATATTTTAACATCCCTTTTTCTAATAAGCTGTGCATACACAATG